ACGTGGTAGAGATGAGAGTCCGACGGCAGAAGTCCGGTCCTCGGCATAGTTCTTGTAGACCCCCTCCCCGCACCTGCCGAGTACCCACTCATCCCAGCTCACTTTCTTCATCTCTGCACTATGGTGTTTATCCTTCTAGAACATCTAGGAACCTGCTTGAGAGGATACTTTTTTAGCCCCCATTGGCTTTATGGAGGAGTATCTTTTATATTAAAATGTGTGTGTGTGTGTGTGTGCGCGCGTGTGTGTATTTGGTCTGTGAAAATTAAAAAACTTCATTTTTTCATGGAATAATAGAAATTATAAATGAGATCCATGTTGTCAAAATAAGCAAAACTACTTCACCCACATGTAGTAAGAAGTAAAAGCTGGTGCAACAGATTCAAATTCAGGGAAGTCTTCTAGAGGAATTTTAGCTTAACAAAGGCTACTCACCTCCTAAATAGCCTTTCTCCACTTTTTTTTTTTTGAGCCACATCCCCAGCCCTTTTTTGTACTTTATTTAGAGACAGGGTCTCACTTGGTTGCATCAGTTGGAAACTAGATATTGTGGTGTTTCAATCACGTTGTCCTTTACAAAGTCACTTATTTTCCCTCTACCTCAAGATTTCCTATTATGAAATGGCACCAGTGTAACTATCCATGTCCTCATCCCTTTGACTTTAGGACCTGGGCTCCCCAGCCTCTGCACTATGTCTCTGGTCCCAGAGCTCACTGGAGTGGGCCTGTTTTGTGTTTATATCATGCACTGTTCATGCTGGAGCCTCTGATCCTGGCCCTGAAATAACCCATCTTCATGCACTGTCATGGTGGCCCACGTGTGCCAGCTCATACTAAGTGATTGCTTTCCGGAAGCAAGAGAAAAGTGGCTGAGAGAATTGGCCCGGATGCCCAGGCACCAAGGCTAGGAAAGGAAAAGATAAATTAGGCCTGAACAGAATCAGGCCTGCAGCTTGGTGAAATGAGGAGGAATATAGATTGAGTCTCCTTATATGTCACTGGCAAGGGATTCTAGAACTGGTTATTTAAACTAATCCATTATCCCATTGTTCACTAAGGCAGAGGGGAATATTTGTCCACAATATTGGCTGACATTAACTGAAACACACACACACACACACACACGAAATAGTTTCATCTATCACTTTGGGTTAATTACATCTCCAAGCTAGTTATGCAGGGCAACTGGAAAAAAAATGTCCAAATTTATATGAATTTGAGAGTGTGCTCTGTCTGGCTAAGAGGGAAACCATATGTGATTCAGAGAAAAGAGAGCTTGATTTGATGTTAAAGTGAAACCCGAGTTCGAGTTGAAACTAAATTCTCTGCTTCTACTTGCAGGTGGGGTCTGCATAAGCGGCAGGCCTCTGCAGCCAAGAAAGCCTGCTGCAGTGTTAGCAGCCAATCAAGGCAGGGCGTGCCTGCTGGAGTCAGCTCTGAGGGTCACAGCAGGCACGGCCCGATTCTCCTCCACCACCACCGAGTGGCGTGTTGTAGCTCCTAACGGCTGACCCTGCCCTCCAGTGTTGTAGCAGACCCCCAGAAGCTCACTCTTCCTTCTGGCTTCTTGTCTCACGAATTTGAAGAATAAAAGCCACAGCTGAGGAAGAGTGAGTGCAAAGGAGGAATAAAATTTATTCAAGCATGAAGAGAAAGAGACAGCGCTCTCAGGGTCGAGAGGGGACCTGACGGGGGGTTGCTGCTTGAGCGTGCTAGTCTCGGGGTTTTTGTAGTACTTGGTCAATGCTATTAGTCCAAATTTATGCTAATCAGGTTTTGGGAAATACCAATGCTATTGGTTGGCCCTTGAGTCTCAACTTTTAGCTCTGCCCCCACTTCTGCTTTCCCACCATTCATCAAGAAGCTAGAGGTCCAGGTCAGTGGATGGGGAATGTTCGAGCTTTGGGGCTGCGGCACTGTGGAGCAGGTGCCTGCACCGGCCTGGGCTGGGCGGCCATGGAGTGATAGGTCAGGTCATCCCACCCTGGCCTTCCCCAGCCCATCATGCCCCAGGCCCATGCCAGCATGGTGGACCCCATGCACCTGGGTCCTCTGCCCACCTCCCATGCTTCAGCCCACCCTGGCTGCCCTCTGCCACTGCTTCTCCTGGGACAAGGGCTTGGATTCAGAAGGAGCTGCTCAACGACTCACTGCAAGTCTAACTTTCCCAGTGATGGTATTTCCCTGTGTACAAATGGGACAGCAATGCAGGGGTTTTCTGCAAGTCAATGGCAAATGGAAGCGCCGAGCACCCTGCTTGCTCCAGAATAATTAATCTTTAATGGAACTCAATCAGAAGCAGACATCTAAAGTGTGCCACCACATGTTGTAGAATGAAAATAAGAATCTGGAGTGACGTGGAAGGAAGGGCCATCCATAGATGATATGCAAAGACTAAGAAAGGGATTCCTCGGGGGAAACCTGCCTTGTGTGCAGAAGGCAGACTTCAGAAAACTGTCAAAGACACAACTCAAAGGGACAGAGGAATGTGGGAATGCTCTGAAACTGGAGGAGATCTCTGAGGCCATGAGCTCAGGCAAGAGAAATAATAATTCATCGAGTTCTTCGGGACAGAGGCGTAGTCAGGGCCTCGCAGACTTGATGGGAGCGCAAGGGTTATTTTCAGCTTGCAGATGAGGGATGACCCTTTGTGAGGAGGGTCAAGGAGAACCATGAGGAAAACCTATGAAGGGGAACTGAGGAGAGATGCAAAAGGCGGAGGAAATTGCATAAGAGTCAGTATACGACTCCATACCTGTAATTTGCCAAATGGATGCAGGGTTGGCCCCGATACTTCGTATGTTGCGGTAAATCCCTCGGGAGGCCGACTGGGCCTTTGTGGCATTTCAGAGATGCCAGCTTTGGTGAGGGGGTTGGAAGCTGCTGGGGGCAGTAACCTACATAGTGTGTGGAGAGAAGTGAAGTCTAATTCCAGGGCACAGATGGCGGGGCCGTGGGAGCGTCTCCTCTCCAATGACACGCTCGTGCACCTGCGCCAGCCAGCTCTCCAGACGGCGCTCTCGGGGCCCATGTGGCTAGCCTGGGTTGCGCCTCAATTTGTAGATTTCAAAATCTTTCTTCCCAACAGAGTAAAGGATCAGAGCGCCTGGATTCTTCCAGTTCCCCTCCCCTTGGATACTGCAGTCTGGTTAGGGCAGAAGCATCCACCCCCACCAGCAGGTAAACAGCCAACAGAACAGAAAAAAAAATGTCCCCTGCCATAGGACCCCGGAGCTCCTGAGAAATAGGGAGAAGAGAGGGAAGATATTTCTTCCCCGAGCCCCTGACTCCAAGGCCATGACCACGTCCGTGATGAGGCGTGGTTCTGCCTCGCCTGTTTGGAGAACCCCACAGAACCTCCAGAGCCTCCTACCCACCTGACTTCAGCCTGTGAGCAGAGCTGGGGGTGCCCTTCCCACACCCATGCCTGGAGGACAGAAGTTCAGAACAGTGAAGAATAGGGACTTATTTCCCTGAAAGTCCCCATGTGCCCTCTCCTGTGCCTCCCGCCCAGCATTCTGTGCCCCCATCCTCACTGAGCTGCCCCTAACTCACATACCCAATGGATCAGAGGAGACAGGGAGGATGGCACGGTGCCCACAACCTAAAAACAAACCCAGGGAGGGTTGCAATGTGACCCACATGGGGTGGCCAGATGGCTCTTTTTCTGCCTGTTTCCCTCGAATCACTCCAAGCCGGGGGACAAGAACAGGAAAGGTCCCTCAATCCAAGCAAACCATACGCCTCCCTCCCACCACCCAATAGCAGCAGGACTGGAAGACCACAGTGAGGCCTTGCTTCCCTGGATGCTCAAAAGCTCAGAGCTGCTTATTGTCTTTTGCTTAATCTCCTCTTTTCATCACCAGGACGGTAAAGTCTGAAAACCTGAAATCAGCACAAGTCAAAAGGGAGAAGAGAAGAAGCCGGCACAAGATGTTTTCTCCAGCACGCTGCCTGGGGAGGCTGGCCCTGACTCTGACATGTGCTGAAGGTGTGGTGTCCAAAGTAAACCTTTTGAACTGTTTTTTGGAACCTCCAAAAAGACCCTGCACATCAAAGGGGATCAGATCCCCTGCACAGTGCGTTACAGGCATCGTTAAGCATTTTGCATGAATCACCCACCTTCTGGAAAAGAAAGGAAACCCAAACTCAAAGCACATGGCCAGCCCATGGCCCCAGCGCGGCCCCCAGCACATGCTCACCACATGGCTCCGCCTGGCTCTGCGGAATCAACTCCCACAGACGCAGGGGCTCCTCCTCCGGGGAGCTGCTCTCGGCATCTCCCAGGCCAGGAGACAATGGAGCACTTGTTGGAGTAGCCCCAGGCCCCTCCTGCAGGCCCGCCTCACGAAGCCCACGCAAACTCTGACTCTAGTCACAAGGGCAGCCCTGCTGGGCCACTCCTACAAGAGTCAGGTGGGATGCAGTCTGGGGCTGAATAGGGGATCCTGTGTGAGTCCGTGGCACCGTGCCCAGAAAGCCACGCTCCTGAGCAAGCGTCAGCATCCATGGGCTCTGCAGAAGCTGCCAGGCCCTGAGAGAAGGCGGAGCAGGGGCCAGAGCCTGAGTCCTCAGACCCTTCTGTCTTCTGTCCTCAGGGGATTCATTTGGTTTCCCAGAGAAAGTAGAAATGGGCAGAGCAAGCGCCCCAACTTCAGAGGCCCCATTGGAGCCTGCAGCTCCTAGGACCTGCAGAGGTAGTCCCCACTTGAGCTGCCCGAAAAGGAAGGATGTGGCCCTGCTACCCACGGAGGGGCCTCTGGCAGCAGTCACAAGAGGCCCTAAGGGAGGGGTCCTGGGAGGCCACTTGTGTCCTCTGTAGCCCCCGCTAACAACCTTCTGAGTGCTAGGAAGACACCCGGCCCGGAGATTTCACTGGAGGTATTTGAAAACCTGATACAATCACTCTTAGCAATTGCCTTTTTAAAACTCATCTTCTCTGGTAGGTGAAAGTTCTAGGTTCAGGAAAAGAAAGAGGTTTAAAAAACACAAATGCAAACTGATTGGTAAGTTTTTAATTAGCAGTTCAAAAGCTGCCCACATTCTGGGTTTCTAATTAATAGGCACGATTTCCATTGAGTTCTACTTCAATGGGAGCTATATAAAACCAGTGAGTGGGTGACATTTTTCCATTCAAAGAAGAACAAGAAGAAAGAGGGGGGGGAAAGCTGAATTAGAAACAGCCGAGGCAAATAAACTGTTTCTAGAAGTTACCCCTTTATAAATAAACATCATCCCCTACCATTAGTTGGAGCCCTTGGGTTCATGACTGGTCAGCCCCCTGAATCAATTTAACACCTTGACACCCCCAACAATGAGTCCAGATGCTGTGGATCCCAGTCAGAGGCCCTTGTTCCACAAACACTGACTGAGCACATTGTGTACCAGGCACCAGCCAGATCTCTGGGAAGCTAAGAGAAAAGAGTTGGTCCCCACCCTCCAAGGACCTCATGCTCCTATAGAAGATAATCACACGGTTTAAATGCTGTCAGATGAGACCACAGCAGACCAAAAGCACCATCTCATTCCTTCCCATCTTATCACCATCTAGCCAGGGTCTAAACAGAGCAGGCAATTATGAAACGCTTGTTGAATGAATACAGGATTGGCACTGTGCACCTCCACAAGGACCTGGGTGGCACAAAGGAGGATATGCACACTCTGCTGGGTGGGGTAGACCCAGACAGTGGGCACCCAGCACACTGAAGCAAGGCTGTCCAGACTCCCTTCATGGCTTCTGTCCTAATTGCTTAGAACCCAATCACGCTCGTCTTTAAATATTTTATTCTCATCTATGGAAGAGAAGTGAAGCCCTGGAGACGGATCTGAAGACCAAATGGGACTTTCCCAAGCAGAGAACTTAGGAAGAGCATTCTAGACAAAAGAACCAGAAAAAGACGAAGCACCAAACTTTGCTAAGTAAGTTAACAATTAAGAAGAGAGAGGTTGTCAGGGCCAAGGGTCTGGGGAAGTGCAGAACGCGTGCTCAGCATGCACGAGGCCCTAGAGTCTTTATCATAGGTGGTTGCATGGCCTTTGTCCAGACTGTGACAAGGAATCTCCAGAGTCTTAAATCAGAAAGAGACCAGAACATTTTAAAGGAAAAAGAGAGAGAGAACTGGGGAAAGAAGCCATGTTTGGAGACTTTAAAAATGGGTGAGTAAAAATGTGAGGGCATGTTCTCGAGGATTTGGCAGCGGCTACGGTGAGTGCTTGACATTGGGATGTTCCCGTTGGATGTGGTCAGTGAGAGAAGAGGGCGTGGGCAACTGGGAGATGGTTGTCCTACTAATGCCATAGGGAACCAGCCCAGGTAGGCTGGGGCAGAGGAAGTCAGGGCTTTCACACCACACATACTGCTTTTGCCAAGTCAGATGGTGTGGGTCCTAGTTTTCCAGAGCTCAGGCCCATCTGTCCTGGAGAGGTGACCTCTGCTTGTCTGGGATTTGCACAAGGTTTCCTTCCACAATCTCAGGCGAACACACATGCGCGCGCGCACACACACTCTGTAGATTTTAGGAAGCGGCATCCCCCTTAGGAGAACATTTCCATGTTTGACAAAAACCTGATGCTAATTCAGAAGATGCCACAGAAAGCAGCACAGAGTTAGAAGGCAGCGCTGACACTGACGAGTTAGGATACAGCAGGCTCCAGGAAGGCTTCCAAATAGACACGTGCAAGTTCCATTTCTCACAAATGTTCCGGAGCTCAGAAGGAAGCTCCTGTGCTCTCGATAACCTCGAGGAACTTCCCCCCTTTTAAAGAAGAAGAGAAATTTTAAAAAGAGACCTCCTAAGGAACGCATCCTCAGAACCTGAGCATACGCCCAGTTGCTGGGTCTAAACCCTGTTGGTCCCCAGCAAGAAACCTGAACAATCAATGGATAAATTGCCTTACATCTCCTTCCCTTTAGATATTTGCTCATGAGCCCAGCTTCCCAGGAGCCAAGCAGCTCTCTTTTCACCTTCATATCCATCTACCCTGGATTTAACGAATTCTTTCCTTCCTGGTACACACTGTAATTTCCAGGTAGAGAGTAATGGCGGCCCCACCCCCACCCCCACCAATCCAAACCCACACGCTTGTAACACAGCCAAAAGGATCTTCATGACCAACTTGATCTTCCACATGACCACATCCTGGGGTTACAAGTAGAAATCTGAAAGTAGGGCAAATTTGTAAATACGCAACTTGCAAATCACAGGGATGGGCTGTAGGTGGTACGGCTCCTTCCTGCAACCCAACCATCTGCAGAGGATCTGCTTAAATGTGCCATCGCTTAAGACAGTCAAGGTCACTCGAGCCACTTTCAAATTTCGAGATGTTGCTGCGTTTTTTTTTTTTAAATTAAAGTTAAAATGAGGAAATGCCCAACAGGGTTATTAAAACTGCAGTGTATTTAAAGTGTTTATATTTGACAAATTAAGGCTTTTAACTCACCACATGAATCTACTGAAACATCAAGGACACTAATCATAAGATTTAAAGGATTTTAAAAAAATATTAATGCATAGATCATCACAGGCAGCGCGGTTTGATGGCAGTGCGGGAGTTTTAAACTAAATGATGTCGATCATCTTTTAACGCCATCTGGTTGCTTCTGTATCTGCAGCTGCATGAGAGGAGAACCCGGAGTCTACACTGGACGCCCTTTGGAAACACTGGGCTCTGACCCTGTGATCCTCCTGCAGGATCTCCCTGCAGAGACTCCAAGTGAACGTCAATCAATGTCTTTTCAAAAAATCAATCACTCCCTCTCTCGTTCACAATGCCATAAAAGGAAGCCATCGTGTTATTTGCTGGATGAACTAAAACAGAGACCCTTAGAAGAAAAGAGGTCAGGACAGAGTAAAAGAGCAGGTAAAACAAAGGCCCAAGTTGACAACTGTCCCTTTCTGAGCTGTGTGTGTCACATCGGTCTCTAGGCCTCAGTTTCCTCAAATGTAGTTTGAAGCTGCTTGAGACCAGGGGTTGGCAAACATTTTCTAGAAAGATCTGGAGAATATTTCAGATGGTATGAACCACGAAGCAGAAACAAGGATATTTGTAGTTACTTCGAGAACAAAGAAAGAAAACCATTCACCACAAAATTTTTGCAACCACATACAAACACTAAAAATCATCCTTTGGTCGCAGGCTGTATAAGAAGAGGCAACAGCTGGTTTTGGCTGGTGGGGTGTAGCTTGCTGACCCTTGCTTCAGAGCAGAGCGGCACCATCCCATGGAAGTCTGTGGTAGTGGGGCCGTTGACCTCTGTGCCAGGTTGTAGAGCACTTGCAATGTGGCTAAGGAGACCAAGGAACTAAAATTTTAGATTTGCTTCACTAAAATCAATTTAAATCAAATTAGGCTCATGTGACAAGCGTCAGAAACAGAGCTTTAAACCTCCGGTCCACTTCCGCAGGACCTGATTATTGGATGGTTCTACGGCTCACTGCCCTCAAGGGCCTTTGTCTTATGAAAGTGGCAAATGTGGGTTTGGCTGGGGTGGAGCCCTTTGGGCAGCACTTACTTTCTGTTTCATTTTCTCCCAGCCCCCCCCCCCCCCCCCCCCCGTCTGCCTTCTAAATGCAAAATTCCAAACTGGGCAGGGAGACACCCCCAAGAAGTCAAACCCAACTCAAAGGGCTGCTGCAGGCTGCTTTAAATTTGAGGAAAACACACCACACTCAACATTGTCAGATGGGGCCCAGCCAGAACAGACTCTCACCAGCTCAGCACCCCCCCGACGCCGCTAACTCACACACTGACGGTAGACTGTGCCCCACTCCTTCCGATGATGCCAGAGCTTTGCGAAGCCAGGCTCTTAAGAGGTATACTGATAAAAAGCAAGGATCTTCTGAAAATCCATGAAGTCCAGGAAAGGAGGGCAACGGTATCCAGTCTAATTCCAAAAAAGGATGACTCGCTTGGCAGGCACTGTGTCACTAGTAATGTCCCCAGCCCTTCTTATTTTTTATTTTGAGACAGGGTCTTGCTAAGTTGCTGAGGCTGGCCTCAGATTTGCAATCCTCCTGCCTCAACCTCCCAAGTTGCTAAGATTGCAGGTGTGCGCCACTGTACCCAGCTAAGCCAAGGTTTTCTTTTCTTTCTTTCTTTTTTTAATATGTTTTAGTTGTCAATGGGCCTTTATTTTATTTATTTCTATGAGGTGCTGAGAATCGAACCCAGTGCTTCACACATGCTAGGCAAGTGCTCTACCACAGAGCCAAAATCTCAGCCCAAAGTTTTCTTAAATTTTACCCCCCCTTTTTATGTGTGCACACCCACATAAGGATTAGACCCAAGGTGCGTAACCACTGAGCTACATATTCAGCCTTTTTATTTTTATTTAGAGACAGGGTCTCACTAAGTTGCTTAGGGCCTTGCTAAATTGCTGGGGCTGGCTCTGAACTTGCAATCCTCCTGCCTCAGCCTCCTGAGCCACTGGGACCCCCTTCTTTTTCATACTTCGTTGAACATCATGCCCCTCAGTTTTTCTAACCCAGAGAGTTCAACAACTTGCTTTATGAGGTGCCCAACCAGTGAGTCCTGAGCCTTCCCAGCAAAGTGTCGCTAAGGCAAGAAGACAAGGAGTCTTCACCGGAGGGCTGGTTCCACACGAACTGGGCTTGCCTAGTTTGCCATTGGGAGTTATCTCAGTTTTCCTTTGGGGACCCTGAGAAGAAGGATTGTTCCATTCGCCTCCTCGGTGGCTGACGCTCTCACACCACCACCACTTATTCCTGGTCCTGAAGGAAGGCAAAGAGGGCTGATTCTGGTAAGTGACCCGCCGTCTCCGTGGTAGACAGTAAGAGTACCTTGTATGTACAGTCATCCCTTCCAGCCCTCTAGTAGCCCCTCTCCCCTCACCTGAGGTCACAGCAAGTCTATAATGCCACCTGTATAATGACATTCTTTTCTATCCCAGGGTTCTCTGCTCTCTGGCTACCACCTGCATAAGGAGCCTAAACCTTTCACTTTTTTTTTTTCCTCCATTTTGAGCCTGGAGATCCCTGGGAAACAGCTATAGTATACAGTCTGTGCCTCATTGTCCTTCTGTGTCACCTAGAACCTGAGACCCAGATGAGGGCCCACCACATCCACCCCTCCTCCAACAGTGATGGAGGCCCTCAAGGGTGTTGACCAGCTTGGGGGTGGAGGCTGGGAGGGAGCTGCCATTGCCCCCCCCGCCGCCGCCCACCCCAAGGAAAGCCAGCCCTGGGCAAGGGCAAGCCACCAGGGGCCAGGTTTCCTGAGGCTCTGCCTCTCATCTGTAGCTTACCTTGGCTGAGATTCAGCCCCTTTTCTTAGTCTCTTCTGTTTCATCCTGGAGGGAAATTCGTCTTCTCCACGAAAATCAAAGGTTTCCCCAAGAGAGAAAGAAAGAAAAGAAGAAGGAAGGAATGAGAAAGAGAAAGGAGGGGGAATTATGTTTAAAAAAGAAATAAAAAGGCCACTGATGACCTTCTTATCCTGAGATCGAATGGCTCTGTGGACAGCTCTAAGGGGTTTCTCAGATTGTCTTTGCTACATATTTTTGGACAAATTCTAGAGCCTTCTTGCACTTTCCGTCCCTTAGTCTGGCTCCTTTCAAGGGATTTACTAGGGACCCAGCAACATGTTAGGTGTCAGGGATATAAATATGAGTAAAGCCCAGTCTCTGCCCTCACGAAACTCAAGGATGAGATAAGAACCAGAGTCATTGAGGGAAAAAAACTCTAAATTTCCTCCAGGAACACAGTGGTGAAGTCAGGCAACTCAGGAGAGAGGATGAAGCCCAGGAGATGGACCCCAGCTGTCCAGGAGCATTGGATGTGCTGGAAGGGCATCTTAGGCAGCAGGAAAGCATGAGCACAGGATGGACACGTGTGATACACTCAAGAATGAGCTAAGGAGCCCAGCACGGTGGCCCACTCCTATAATCCTAGCAGCTCAAGAGGCTGAGGCAGGAGGATCATGAGTTCAAAGCCAGCCTCAGCAACTTACTGAGGCCATAGGCATCTCAGTGAGACCCTGTCTCGAAATAAAATCAAAACACACACACACAAACACACACACACACAGGCACACACACAGAGTGCCCAGCATGTGGCCCAGTGGTTAAGTGCCCCTGAGTTCAATCTCCAATACCAAAAAAAAATTATACACACACACACACACACACACACAGAGAGACATATATATATATATATATATATATATATATATATATATATATATATATATATACTTTTTTTTTTTAATGAATGAGCAAAGGGCAGTCTGTCAGCCTCTCGTCCCTCATCTCTAGACCTCCTCCCTCCAACCCATCTTTACTCTGAGCCAGGGCAATCTTTGTAAAACACAGCTCTCAAAACCCTTTGGTGGCTACTCCTAATTTGGTTTGAAGAGCATTCCACAGTCTGGCCACCGTTGCGCTCTGACCAGTCCTTGGTAGCCACACCCCCCTTCCTACCACCAAGCCTAGTTAAGTCTACATGGCCCTCCAGGACAGCCTGGGGTCACCTCTGATGACAAGTCTGTCCCATCTCTCAAGACTGGATTAGGCATTTCTCCAAGTGTCCCCTAAGTGTCCGTAGCACACAGCAGACTGCACCGTGATGGCCTAGTCACTTGTCTCTACCCTACAGAACTGCCCACTCTGTGTGAAGGGGCAGGGCAGGGGGGAGATCAGGATCATGGGAAAACCTTAAATGAAAGACATGAACTAAGGGAGAAATAATAAATTGAGTTAGGAAAGAGTAATGAAAAACAGCAGAGAAAGAGCTTGCAGTGGGAGGCCCTTAGGAGAAACACCCAGAAATCTGTTGGCTAATGATTAATATCGGGTTTCTTTGTCATTTTTGCTTTTGTGTTTGTTTTAACCAGGGACCTCTTTGACATTCTGGTGAGGACTGTGGACCCCACAAAATAATAATATTAAATACATCAAAGACAAGATATTCAGTAATAACTAAAACCACTTATAGTAAAATATAGTTATCTGAATATTAATACATTATACTAACCAGGCTCAGTGGTGTGCACGTGCAATCCCAGCTACTCAGGAAGCTGAGACAGGAGGATCGAAGGTTCAAGGACAGCCTGGGCAACATAGTAAGACCCTGTCTCAAAAGAAAAAATAAAATGAGCTGGGAGTAGATCAGGGGTAAAGCATCCCCAGTGCCTATATATATATATATATCTGCAATACCTTTCACGTTAATATTCTAATGTTTTATTACTTCCATTCATAATTAAAGGAAATTCCACATTTCAGTTTTAAGCTAACAAAAAGTAAAGTGTTTTCTCCGTCTACATTCAGAGTCCACAGGTTAGGGATGCCTACCCAAACCATCTGATTGGCAACTAGGTCCTTGCTAACTTTTCTTGATGGGAGAGGGGGTAGTACAGGGATTGAACTCAGGGGCACTGGGCCACTGGGCCACATCCCCAGTTCTATTTTGTATTTTATTGAGAGACAGGGTCTCAGTTGCTTAGTGCCTCACCATTGCTGAGGCTGGCTTTGAACTCACGATCCTCCTGCCTCAGCCTCCCAAGCTGCTAGGATTATACAGGTGGGCACCACCGTGCCCGACCCTTGCTAACTTTTGCCAGAGCAATTTCAGGCAAGTGATAGGCAAAAGCCACCATGAAATAAAGTGTTGGGTGGATGAGAAGAGAGGAAATGCAGGCCGTGATTCCAGGGTCCTCTCTCCAGATATTTTTGTGGCAAAATGAATGCAAAGGCTTGGAATAGCTTGAAGGAGGACAGATGTCAGGGCTATAGAAATAGAAGAGGCCATCTCCTGTGACCCCAAAAGTCATGCTAGGAAAGTTTCCAGCTCTGCTGGACCCTCCTCAGGAGCAAGGCAACAGATCAGGACAGGGAGTCATTAGCTCTGCTGTTAGCCAGGAGGGGAGATTGCAGGCCTCATAGCCAGATTGCAGGAAAGAAGCAACAATCAGTGCCACCGGGTTCCTTTTCTCTGAAAAATAACTATGTTGCTGGGAGCAAGACACGTGAGTCAGGAGTCGTGGGTTGAATTTGGAGTTGGAGTCTGAGATTTCCGGTCTCTGTGGGATACAGGTTGGAGAAAGGACCATGCAAAGAATTCTCCTAGTCTACGGGAAAAACAGTCTCCTAGGGACCTGCTCTAGATACAGCCTTTCTTGTTCAGATGAGAGATGATCTCAAGTTAAAAAAAAAAAGCTATTGAAACTATTGTTTGGGTTATTTTTTTTTTAATTTTGCTTTTCTGTATTAAGATTCAACACTGTCCGCAGCAGGTGACAGCTAAGACATCTGATCCTAAAAAAATAAATAAATAAATAGATGTGCATAGAAGAGACGGACACAAAACTTGACAGTATTAATATTGCAGATCAGACCCAAGAGCTATTAAGACACAGAGCACATCCAAAACAAAAGTAGAAAAGCGTTGGTTTTCCTCATAACCACCCTTTTCTAATCAAGGTCAAAACCAAAAGCTCATGACAGTCCATGAGCTCTGCCTTGGAAGGCTTCTGAGAGCCAAAGGAAGGACGGCTGTGTAGACATACCACGTCCTCTTCAAATCCAAACCTTGGGTTCCCCTCAATGGGGGGATTAAACTGCTAGAGACCTGCCCTTGAGCCTTGTCTCCTCCCCGGAAATGACTGTAGATCTGTTGGCTAGTTGACTTCATTCAGCCTAACCCAGACCAAAGATAAATCAAATTAAATGTCCCTTGACACAAGAAGCAGAACTAGTGCAATACAGTGGCTAAGAAAAGTCTGCAGGTCGGAGGAAGCCGGAATGTTCATGCAGTACTTTATACTCTGAGCCTGGAGCTCACAAGGGGTCTCTGGGCTCCGGTGGAGCCTAAAGAACAATTACAACATGATTGAGCATTGATCACTGGATGTCCCTTATCTTGCTTTTCTTTGCTTTTCTGTGCAAGGAGTTCAAAGCCCTTTCCTGGAGAGATCCCGCCCACCCCACAGCCTCCCGGCTCTGCTGTGAGTTCCACCAGCAAATAGCCAGACCACCCATGGGTCCACAGGTTGACCTCATAGTGAGCAAGTAAAGGGATTTTTTCAAGGTCACCCAACAGATGGAAGCCAAGCTTTGGGTAGCACTACTCCTAACCTTGTGCCTTATCGTCCCTGGCACCCTATCTCAACCTGCAGGTTCCAGGGAAGTTGCATAAAAGCAGCTCCCTTCCAAGAGTAATCAAGGTTGTCCCTGGTGAGGCCATCTGGAGTTCTCAGAAGACCTAACACAAAGATCAAGGGGGGAAAAAAATCACACTTTCCAAACCTAACAACTCAGGTTCCTAATGCCCCATAGAATAAACCAGAGTTACTGCTCCTAAGGCTCTCAGCTTGCAGGTGACTCCAGGTTTCTGGGACCAAGTGAACCATAGATTCTCTCTGTGGTTCCCAGGCACCTTGTGGGTTAATGGCCTCCCCGCTCTGCGCTCTCTGCTCCATTTAGTAATCAGTGTGTCCTGCAAACAAGACAAGCTCAGGCTTTTATAAGCCCAGCCCCAGGAAGGGGCAATGGGACTAGACGGCTCGGAGAAGTGGATTTCGGGAGGACTTGGCTCAGGCTGGGCACAGATGGTTTGCATCTGCACAGGGATCCTGTCCCTTGCCTTGAACTCTGACTCACCAGCCCGCACCAAATCAACTGGGCATGGCAGAGTAACTGTGGAGCGAGGGCCTGAGAAACAGGGTTCTGTTGGAGCCATAGGACAGCTGAGCATGGGAGGGAAGGAACAGGTGCCATTACTCACCTGGGGGTCCCACATTCTATCGTTTCCCCCCCTCTGGGTCTGTTGTTGTTCATTTTCTCTGAAAGCCAACCAGAAGCCAGGGCGCCCAGAGGATTTCACTCCCGTGGCCCGGGCTGCCTGTGGACCCCTCACATCTGCTGTGGATGTGGAAGCTGCTTCTTAAATTCCCCTTTCTCTATCTATGGGCTTTGCTCTTGCCAAGGTCACCCAGACTATGTAAAAATGCCCACAAGGTCCTGTGGGTCAAGGCCTTGAGTCAAACTAAAAGAAAGTACAAAAATAGATGTTAGCTACTGCTCAAGCGCAGGTGCTGGGGACACCCCTGTGCTCAGCTCCAAGTGGCAGCAGGCTCTGACCCACCCCACGTATTCACTTGAGTACGCCATCAGCACTTCACCTGGGCCACAGAACAGAGGAGTCCAGTGGCCAAAGGGAACCAACCCTGTTTCAACATCTGCTCTTGTGAAATAAAATACTTCCCTGGAGACACTTGCAAAACGATTACTACATATGCATTATGGGATCCTTTCCAAGGAAGAAGTGGGGCAGGAAACTCCCATCCTGTCTTTGCCCTCCCCAGGGCACATGGCCAACGGGCTCCCTTGCCTCCTTAAGGCCCCAGTCAAGTCCAACGTGCCAGTCGCATGTGGGGGGTGGGCACCCCTGTTTACCTCTCTGCTCTCAGGAGGTGGAGAGCAGATGGAGAAACAGCTCTTCCCAGTTCAAGATGCACATTTAGCAGAAACCTCCTGCTGCCTTAGTCTCTGGACTCCTGCCCCATCCAGCCCAGCTCGTGACCAGGTTCGAAGGCCCCTCCACACCTCCTAGCCCCAGGCTCCAGCGAGAGCCAGAGCTCCCCCCTCTGCTGAACATCCACCCTGTCGGTCATGTTCCCACGGTGCCCCAGAAGCTCAGGAGATCTTCTCAGTCCCAAGGACCGCTACCTTCTTGGGCTTCAGATCCCTGACACCCAAGGGACCTCACTTCATGACTGTTTCTTTTCTGCATCTTTGTTCCAGCCCTGAACACATGCAGTTCTCCCCATCTCAGGGTGTGGGTGCTGGGCGGAGCCAGGGGCCCCCTCTGAACTGCTTCACCTCCCTCCTACATGGGTTGTCTGTGGCTCAGTCACCTCCACCTGCCATTGGGCTCCCCAGCACCCATTCCTTCCTGACAGGCCGGGTCAGGCCCACCTGCCTGACCTCAGCCAGGGACACCGCTTCTCATGCACCTTCAAATCTGAGACCTTTCACAGCTTGGTAACCCCGCCCCCATCCTCCCGATGTCCCTTTCTGATTTCCATGGCACTCTGCCCTCCAGGGCTTAATCCCAGCACGACACTTCCCTCCGCCTCCTTTACTGGCTGTCTGCCAAAGGTCAGAGTAGGAGGTCGTCCCTCCCAGGGCGGGTGTTAGTCCTCGCTCTTGCACGTGCTCTGACATATTTCTTGTTCCTCCTTGCCCGCACGACAAAGCGCCAGTTCAGTATCTGGGCCTTAGGGTCTCTCACAACCTACCAGGCGACATCCCCTCCTACTCCCCGCTTCTACTCTGACCAGCCCTCACCTCCTCACTGGACCACAGGTGGGGTCACCCCAAGGCTTTGCGGGGCCCACATCCCTCCTACTTTCTTCTTCTGTACCCAGATCCTACTCCTCATTCAAAGTCTAGCCAAACTCTCTTCTGTCCCCACTTGTGTTATTAACGCATAGAAAACAGAGAAGGCACCGTATACTCTTGGGCATCCCTGCCAAGCGTGTGGTACCCATACGGAAGCCAAGCAGCACTGAACACACACGAGGTGTTAGGCCAACACATTTCTTAAACACACACGTGACCTCTCCTGCCTTTAATCTTGATGGTCACGGCCACAAGCAAAAATGTGACCCACAATTTTGTTCAATTATTTTTTTTAAATTTTTTATTGTTGGCTGTTCAAAACATTACATAGTTCTTGATATATCATATTTCACACTTTGATTCAAGTGGGTTATGAGCTCCCATTTTTACCCCATATACAGATTGCAGAATCACATCAGTTACACATCCATTGATTTACATATTGCCATACTAGTGTCTGTTGTGTTCTGCTGCCTTTCCTATCCTCTACTATCCCCCCTCCCCTCCCCTCCCCTCCCCTCTTCTCTCTCTGCCCCCTCTACTGACATTCATTTGTCCCCCTTGTATTATTTTTGTTCAATTATTGATTGCTTCACAAACATCGTGATAATCCGCCTATTGTCATATCGTTTTTTTACTGCACAGGTTCACGTGGACAAATTCATTTAAAATAGAACCTATTTGTTTCCTCCTCCTTACTGGTGGGGGTTGAGGTTAAACGGTCATTAGTTAATAGCAGTGTGTCACATTTGGCTGTCCTGAACAGGAGGGGACAGCCTTATACCTTTGTTGTGATTTATTTGGAGATGCCACTGGACAGGTTTTTCCTTAACAAAAAAAAGAAGAAGAAGAACATTTTGTAAAAACATCTAAATTTAAACACTCAGGACACACCACATCCCAGGTCTAAGACAACACGGGTCTAGCTTACTGTTAGTTAAAATAAAAAAAAAAGCACCTGGAACAAGAAGCTAGTGTCTTTCTTGCTCATCTTGAATTAATAACTTATCCAAACGTTTACTCTCATCTCACACATTGAGGGAAGAATCACTCTGCACACCACATCTGCTGCTGTCCCCCGGGACCTGTCCTCTTTAGTACAGAGCTCTCTGCTGTTTCAGGGAGCCGTTGCCCAGCGCCTGACACAGCCTGTGGCGGTCACTGACCAAGAAGATGTCGTGTGCAACTCCGGGAAGTGTCCACAGGGAAGCAGAGCCGCCTCCCCTCCCACTTCTCCTTCCTGAGGGTGGAAAACTGCTGAGATCTCAGCCCCTGCAGGCCTGGGGGCCGCCCGTGCAAGTACAGGAGAGGGTGGGACCAAACTGAAGGAGCTGGGGCCTTCGCTCCTACAGAGCAGCCACCCTGGCCCTGCCACACCGGCCCCCAGTGCTCATTTCATAAAACAGAAACATGGCCTCTTGTCACACACAGCTGACCCCAATCTTACCTCAGAGACCTACCTGAGAGTCAAAACTTACAATTCGATTCACAGCATCCAGAAAGTCCAGAGTGAAATTCGTCCAGTGTATACAGCTTTGCTTCAAAGGTCCACGCAGAGGTGAGCGCCTTCCTGTCTTTGGGCATCAAATGGATCCGCCACTCTTTTCCATGAAACAGACTAAAATTAGTACTGGCCTCTTTCCCCAGCTCTGTTCTTCTGTTGGGATTTTCTTGACCGAGATGAGAGAGGCTGGGTGGTGTCGTGGAACACGTGTGCAACGTGAAGCAAGAGAAGCAAACTTTAACCTTCGTCTCTGAACTTTGTTAGCCATGTGACCCTCGATCAATGGCATCCTATATCCAAAAAGTGGTTTGAATAATCTCCATTTTAATCATCAAAGCCTTCTTGAGGTTGTGGTAAGAATGAAGTAAATGGCCAGGGTCTGACATGGGGGTGGGAAAGGGTGGTTTCAATAAAAGCTTGTGAAACCTAAAAGAAAAAAAAAAAATCCCAAACCACGGAATATACAGGTCCCAAGTAAATGACTCCTAATCAAATAATTAGCAATGTCTTTTTTTAAGCAGAGAGAAAAACTGCTCTTCCTAACAGGCGGTGGGGACTTTCATGCAGACCCGGAGGCTGAGGCTCTTGGTTTGCAACTTTAGGGCTGAGAAGTTTAGCTCCCCCCCTCAGAGGAAAGATTCATGGGAGTGCAAGTTAAAGGGCGTGGCAGCATGTCCGCAAAGATCCCCCAACAATGCATATTCGTCCCCCACAGCCACTGGCAGGCTTCTTCCCATCCACTGTGACTTGCTTTGACTGACAGAATTCACAACATAGCACTGTCGGATTTCCAGGTCTAGGTAAGAGGCCTTGCTAAGGCCGACCACCAGGGAAAGCAGCTAAGGTCAGACAGCTGAGTGACGACTGAACTCGGGAGAAGTCACATGGAGCAGAATCAAGGCCACCAGTCAAAGCACCCAGACCTCAGACAATGACCCTCCCAGAGGTCCCAGACCCAGCCAATCCCTAGATGAATGGACCACAGTGGCCCCAGCTAACCTCAAGGATAGCAGAACATCCCGCAGGATTGTGAGGAATAATACAATATTGATGCTTTAAATCACTGGGTTTGGGGATGTTTTTTTACACTGCAGTGACTGACTGACTCAAAAGAGGTCCTCAGTGGTTCTTAGACACAGGAAGGATACAGGATCACCATCTCAGTCCTCCCTCCAGTCAATTCCCAACCCTGTGACCTCAGTCTACCTATAATGCCAGCCTCTTCGGCTTACAGATTCTTTTATCCTGGCATAGCCATACTTTTTTTGTTATTGTTGTCTAATTAGTCATATGTGACAATAGAATTAATTTTAACACATCATACATAAATGGGGTATAATTTCTCATTCTTCTGGTTGTACACATGTAGAAGAACACCAGTCATGTAATCGTGTATGTACATAGGGTAATAATATCTGATTCATTCTACTACCCTTCCTACCTCCAGACCCCTCCCCTCCCTTAATCCCCCTCTACCTAATCCAAAGTAACTCTATTCTTCTCTAGCCCCACCTCCATTGTGAATTAGCATTCACATATCAGAGAAAACGTTGCCTTTGGTTTTGGGGGATTGTGTTATTTTGTTTAGCAAATCCAGCCATTTACTGGCCATGATTTCATCCTTCTTTAGGGCTGAATAATATTACATGGTGTATATATACCATATTTCTTTATCCATTCACCTGTTGAAGGGCACCTAGGTTAGTTCCACAGTTTGGCTATTGTGTGTTGAGCTTCTAGAATCATTGATGTGGCTGCATCACTGCATTACACTGATTTTAAGTCCTTTGGGTATAAACTGAGGAGTAGGGTAGCTAAGTTAAAGGGTGGTTCCATTCCAAGTTTTCTGAGGAATCTCCAGCCTGCTTTCCAAATGGTTGCACCAATTTGCAATCCCACCAGCAATGTATGAGTGTCTTTTCCCCCCACATCCTCACCAGCATTTATTGTTGCTTGTATTCTTGATAATTGCCATTCTGACAAGGGAGAAGGGAAGCCCAGCCATAGGTAACGGTTTTAGTGTGTCCTTTGAGCTCACATTTATTATTCTTTTGTATTACCACTAAAATGGCAAGGGAGAAATAACAGCAGGGAAGAACATGAAGACAACCCCAATCCTAGCAGAGAGGTCCGGGTGACTTTCTCCCATGGATAGGCCCTGTCAATTGGCTACAGTTAAATTCCTATTTTCCACTCCTAAGTGGATTTCTTATGATTAAACTCTGTAGTAAAAATAATAATGGCCAACATTTATTACCCTTGTACCATGTGAGGGCTCAGGGCCAAGCATATAGCATTTAATTGTTAACAACTCCATGAAGCAGATTCCTTTATTTATCAAACATTAATCAGCAGGCGCTCTTCCAGGTACAGCATGCAGACACAGACCACACAGACCCCGATGGCCACTCAAGCCAAGGTGGCAACAGAGGACCTGGAGGCGGGGCCGCGAGGCTTCGGGACACCTCAGGAAGGCAGAGCAGCCCTGGTTTGCTGCTGTTTAGAGACATGCTGGGAGGGAGAGCTCTGTGATTGTTAGCACCATCCTGCCCATTTTACAAATGCAGAAACGAAACACAGAGTCACTTGCTGGAGATGATACAGCAAGAAAATGCAGAGTGGCAGCCCCGTCGGGATCTGCTTGACTCCAGGGCACATCTTCCCCATCCTGCCCTCCTGCCTCGCGTTTAAGATCTCCAAGCTATGGAGGTTGGAAATTGCACGGGGCAAGCTGTCCCCATTTCACTCCCCCATCCACTTAGAAGAGAGAAATAGGCCAAACCCCTACGTCAACAGAGCAGTTTGAATGAGCATGATGCCCTTGTGACTCCGAGAATCCTTCCCCTCCTGTGAAACACATGACCACAGTAAAGCATTTGGGCAGGGGGACACCCAGTCCCAGCCCCAACCACAGTAGCTTCATCCTGCGGGGCTGCAGCAACTACCCGGGCTTCCCTAAAGTCGAAGCCAATGACTTTTCTCTTGCAGAAGTTGCCAGATATTTCCTCATAACTGATCACTTAAAGAGGACGGAACAACAACGTCATAAAAACATCAAAGAGAACAGTCAAGAAACAGTGTGTTTTTAAGGGTTAAGATGGTCCAGGACAACCTGACACCTGGTGATATTAAGTTTGATGTCGGGGAAGGTGGCTGGGAGCTTTGGCAACATGACGTCACGAGCACCGTCACTGCCAGGAAGCAGGTGGCCATGACCCTTGTGCGTTCAGTTTTAAAACTTACTAAAAATATTTTATCAGGGTAAAACCTCATTAAAATTCTCTAATGTAAAATATTTTTAATAAAAGCCATTTTTTTAAGTTGCTGATCACCAAAGTTGAAACAAAAGGGCCTCTATGAATCAACTTCTCTCTCTCTCTCTCTCTCCCTCCTTCCAAAGCAGAGGACTCCCAGATTTTCAGCTGCCAGCCCCAGAGACCCCAGAGGTCCGACTGTTAAGAGCACCAATTTCCGACCGAGGAATCACTTGCAGAGACTGAAGGGTAACTGACATCACAATTTATTGCCCCCAAAACAACCTTCTCAGCTCAAAGCAAAACCATGATTACGGGTGAGAAAGACACCCCGATCATTCGCTGGCTGTGAGAGAGTGATTTACAATGCGTTCTCCCTCCCAGCAGAAAGCTCTTGGCAGTCACAAATACCGGTTTTGTGTATTCAGAGGCAAAGCTCTGAGGAGCAGAAGAGAGTAGAAAGGACATTTTGCATGGGAAGTGTGCCTCTTTCCGCCACATTGATTCCGTAAAGTCACAGCCCGAGAGCCCTTGGAACCCTCCCCATTAGGGAAACTGACTCTCGCCATGGTGAGGACAAAGACGGGCACTTCCTTTTTTGCTTTTTTTTTTCTTTTAAGTAGTTCCCTCTCCACTGAAATCTCCAGGTGTCTATTTATGGCTTACAGGAAGAGAGAACCCCACCACGCAGCAAAAAAACACTCACATGGCTTTAA